CTAGCTTACTGCAAAAGCAGATGAAGCACTACATATGTCACATTGTTACTTATTAAAAGGGGATGCATTTAAGCCTTTCTCCACACTACTGCAGACATTCTGTGCTGATCTCCTGACTTTGTTTTATTTGCCCCCTGTTTTCCCCTCCAACTAAGGGGTGTGGTAGGGCTCCTCCTGGAGCAATGCCCTCAGCGCTGGGCACCGGGACACCGTGGGTTAAGTCACAGCCTGCAAAGCCGGCAGCTCATCCCGGAGTGCTGCTTCAGTCCCATTTGTTTCACATCTACTTCCAGTCCAGTCCCTGCCAACGCGCCAGGGAGAGCAGCAAGATGGTCGGAGCACTGAGGTTCCTGCCACTCATGCCCTCCTGGCCTCAGCCTTATCCAGTCCCGCTTGCTGCCACCACAGGAGTGTGAACCAGTGGAAGGAAGCACTCTCCCTCTCCTCTCTTGGTGTTTTCCAAATAAAAATCTTAAAACAAACAAAATGCACTGCTGGAACCAGTCCATTCAGCTGACAAAACAAATACAATAACATATGCTTTCAGAAAACACAAATAAAACTGTCTTTAATTCTTTTAAAAAAAAAAAAAAAACATCTTATGCATTTGAGAGAAAGAGAAATCTTCCATTTGCTGGTCCACTCCCAAACAGCCTGTGGCCAGGGCTGGGCCAAACCGAAGCCAGGAGACGGAAGCCAAGGGCATCTCTGTGTCTCCCCTGTGGGCGCCTGGGCCCAAAGACAGGGCCATCCTCTGCTCCCAGGAACAGGTGCCCAAACGGGATGCTGGCATCGCAGGCAGAGGTTTTAACCTGCTATTCAACACCAGCCCTACTTTCCTTATTCTTAAAGAGTAAATACAATATTCTAGTTTAATATAGAAGATTGCTAAGAATTTTTAACAGGCCACAAAATGCTTCTATGAAGTATACTGATACAAGGACTTCAGTGAACAAAACCAAAACATCCTCTTAGTTTTCATGTTAGAAAACTCAAACAACCAAACTGAGAATCACGACTACAACTCAGAACTTAACAGCCGTTAGAGCAAAAGCCATAGCCAAGAAAATCCAGGCTCAGCTCTGGAGCTCCATGATGGGGTCTCTCAGTCACACAGAACACGGGCAGAAACCGCATCCACTTTGCCTTCTGGCATCTCTCCAACTACTCTCCCCCACCATTTCTAATCCAGGCTCTGGACACAGGTTTCCCAGCAGGGAAGGACCAGATCAAAGTCTTACTGGTTTTTCTTATCTGCCTCCAATTCCACCGTATTTCCCACTGTTACATCACAAACACAACCCTCCTCCTGAAACATCCTCCTTCATCCAGCACCAGCATGCTCCTGTCATGAGCTCCCGTTCAAGCCCCAGCTATTGTACACACCTTTTCAGATGTCAGCTCTGAAACAGTGCCTTCCTCTTCTGAAGGTTGTGGAATGTGTGCAACTCTAACACTCTATCAAACACTAAGCCTTTAGTGCAAATGAACGGTTGTGTATCTCATCTTGAAGCAGCTTCCTCATAAATTAAAGTCTAAGTTAAAATGTCTTCTCCAAGAGATGGGCACTGTGCCGCCGCAGGCTGAGATGCTTCAGAGGACGCCTGCACTCTGACCCCGAGTTCCTGGTTTGGGCTCCAGCTCATCTGTCCCAGGCAGACAGGTGATGGTTCCTGTACTTGGTTCTGACATCCACACAGGAGTGTGTAGCGTCCTGGGCTCCTGGCTCTGGCCTGGCCCAGCCCAGGCTGTTGAAATCATCATAGTAACCAGTGGATGCAAGACTACTGAGTCTGCCTTACGAATAAATTAAAAAAATAAAAAATAAAAGGAAGTCTTTTCCTGCTCTCAAAATTACATAATGTGACATACTGCTTTATGTCATTTCACACAGTCATCTCACTTCTCCTATTTGACTTTAGAGCTCTTGAAGCGAGAAGTGTATCTTCTCCTTCTTAAAGCAGCCATCCCAGGGACTGTTCCCGGTGACACTGTAGCTGACGTTGGCACAGCCCAAGCATCATGACACAGGAAGATGCTTCAAAGATCTACGTATGAACCCAAGACCTATTTCTTTTTTTTTTTTTCCCCCCCAAGATCTATTTCAAGGAGATAGGGAAACTGGCAAACAGAGTGTCCACAGTATGGAAGAAACCTGTAACACTCAAGCAGGGCTGGTCTCTCCTTGAGCTGCTGGAAGCAAGAAGTCAGCTCTACAGCAGGAGCGAGAGCAAGCAGCCAGCGCCTCGGAACTGCGGGACAGCGCTATCCGCACCCGCACGCTGGTGCCAGCTCCTGACCGTCTGCACACAACCACCCCAGGTGGTTTTCTGTGCTCCAGGGCAGACTGCACAGCCCCAGAGTCAGCACAGCACCTCAGGGAGTATCTCAAGCCTGCCCTACAGCAGCAGGGAAGTTCAGTTCATTTCAGCCTTACAAGGCCTGAGGCCTGCAACACAAGAGCAATTTCTTCCATTTTTAAACCCCAGTGCCTTCCCTTGCCCTACTTCAAGAAAAATGTAAGCTTACGTCAGAGGGAAAGAAACAAGCGCAGACACAGCGCAGAAGCCTTCAGTTCTATCCTGTTCTTACATTTCCAGTAAAACATGTTATCTTTTCCTTTTCTCAGAGCAGTAATAGGTCAGTGTGTGCAGAGATACCGCAGAAGGAAGCTACCTGTTGGGCAGGAGTCCACAGTGACTAAACGTTAACCAGGAACTCAAGATAGCGCCGATGCAATCCTCAGAGTGGTGAGCAGGAGACACCAGGGCCCAGCCCTTCCAGCTCATTATCTTGAAATGGGATGTATCCAACGCCTGTGCACCCACCTCCTTCCGGGCCTCCGTCAAGTGAGCTAGTGCTATTCTGACCAAAATGTTTCGGCTACAAGGAACAGCCTAATGAGTGACCAAATCAAATCAAAGCCACTCAGATGAAGCCAGTTTACTTCTAGAAAAATCAAATAAGGAAAGCTCCTCCATTCTGCTGTTTTTATTAGCAGCTCTTAAGACAAAGCAGGTGCCGCCTCTTCGCTCAGCTGTTACACAGTTAGAAGACAAAGGCCAACTACTGTACTGGCACTTTTTTTTCTTCTTGGAGTAAAGCCACATGATTACTAACAAACAGCTAATGGCCACCGTTCAAAAGCAGTAATGGCACCATGACTTCATACCCCAATCATCTCCCAGACTGGAAAGAATCAAGTTCATGTATTTTTCTCTCTTCCCCCAAAGAAAATCTGACTGCAAACCTGCGCCCTCTGATCCACGTCCTCTCGCAGACACTAATTCCTGAGGGGGTGTCCAGCAGCATCACCTTCCCTGATTATGGGGTGTGAGGAGGGTTTTAAACTTGCTTAAAAGCTGTCTAATTACTTCAGAAACATACATCAGAAAAGCTCTTTTCTAAAAGTTCTTAAAAAGAGACCTCAGGCCCTGCTTAGCGTTGTTGTTTTAGTGCTAAAGTTCAACGGGATAGACATAAGAGAAAGCATGAACTACCAACTTTGCAGGTTCAAGTTTCTAAGATAAATTTAATGGAGAAATTTAAGTGTGTATTTACAAAACCAGACTTGCCTCACCACCATATTTGTATATGATACAAATGTCAATACTTAATATCACAAATGGGTTAGCTACTGAAAACAGCAGCACCCTGCAGTGACCTCAAACTATCTTCTCCATACAACAAAGTAATTTAGTTGTCTAATTTTGCTGACTTCTAGCTCTCTACAAGAAGACAAGATATCCCTATCTTTCTAAACCTAGAGAAGTTTTTTTCTTCTGACAATTTAGAAGTGACCTGAGGCTTCCCTCGGAAAACTGAGCGACACAAAAACCGTTCAACTGAGCCGGGGAGGGCTCGGCAGCACAGCCTCTCCGACATGAACCAGGCGGGTAACTTCAGACAAGAAGCCCGAGCCTTGGGCAAGGAAGTCCAAACAGTAACGACCAACAGTGCACATTACAAAAAGACTGCAAACCCCCCCCCCCCCAGGACTGAACTTCTACATTTCCATTTCCTCTCGACAAAATTCTAACAATTTTACTCAGGGCTGCTACACAAATGGTTGAAGTGAATTCCAACAACCAGATGAAGGCTCTGGAGAAAAAATGTCAAACAGAATACACTTTGATAACATAACACCCTCCCTGTAAAAATAAATGACATATCCAAAAAGGGCAAATGCTCCAGTCAACTGGGTAATTAACATGTGCCAGGTGGAGAGTGAATCCTGGTGCAAATAGCAAGGCTGAAAATAAGCTGTAAACTGTTAAGCAGTTTACTTTCAAACTGTCAGCCGGCTTCTTTTGTGCAACTGGACTTCAGTACAGGACAACTGTTCCTCAAGTTTCTTTAAAGAAAATTAAAACCTAACTTATACAATGTAAGGTGAGCCTTATTGATCAGATCTTTATTAGTGGGGTTTTTTTGTTTGTTTTATTTTGTTTTGTCTGTTTTTTTGCACAGAGAATAAAAATACATGAAGTTCTCTAATGAGTTCTGGTATAAATTTCTAACAACATCGCTAAACCGGGAAAATTAATTTCTACCCAACCAGGATCATATTACAGAATGCAAAATCCTTTGGCATTAGTGTAAAATGGCACTAACGGAATGCTCTTACATAAATACTTCAAGCTTTTGGCCTTTAGGAAAATCTTTTAATTTTTAATAAAATGCTACCAGGTAGGCTATAATGTGTTCATATACTACCTTCCTATACTCACATTACTCTGACTTTACTTGAAATAGTACTACTATCAACAAACAGGCATTCACACAAAGGCAGTTAAAGACCACACACCACACCAACTCTTAAGTCCAATTTAATATTCCACTCAGCACCTATCACAAGCTCTCCAGATAGAACACGATGGTAACGGGCGAAGTGTGCAGTGAAGGAAGGACTAGCAGGTTCCTTTGTGTGTTGCCAGAGCGAAGGCAGCAGCGGAGTGAGGAGAGGTGAGCGCGGCAGCGTGCTTGGCAGCAGCACTTACCTTGAGGATGTCCCCCCTTTTGAAGCTCAGCTCGTCATCTGCAGTGGCTTTGAAGTCATATTTGGCGATGGCTTCCATTCTGAGTGCTGCTCAGTGCTCGGCAGCCTGAAGCAGGGGGGAGGGAGGCTTCCCCGCCGAAGCAGCCCAGCCCTGGGCTCAGCCTCGCCTCTCTCCTGGGATTCACTTCGGAACGCCGGGATGCACAATGCCACCCTGAAGCACAAGAGGGACGGTAAGGAGAAGTGGCCTGGATGGAAGGCAGCCCCGCCCTGCCGATCCGCCAGCGGTCCCAGCCCCCACGCCCCCTGGCTCAGCCCTTCTCCCACCCCTCCTCCTCACAAGCAATAGCCCCGCTCGCTGGCTTCCCCTTTTCAGACTCAGCCCCCAGGCGACTGACAGGCCTGCCGGCCAATGGCAGCAGCTGATTAAGCTATTCCAGAACACACTTCCTCTTCCTTCCCGCTGGGTGTGCGCGGAGAGAACCCGGCTGAGTCCCATTCGGTCTCTGCTTTCCTTCCCTGCTCACAACTCCCCTCCCAAAAGCCATCCACAGAGGAAGGTCCCACTCCGGGGGAGGGCACCCACCTTTTCAGCGTTAAACAGGCCCATCTCCCTCCCCTCTCCCCACTGACCGTGATGATTTCTTCAGAATGCTGGCTCCCCTGTTCCACAGACCAGAGCAAGCAATGAACGCTTTGGTCCCAAGCTGCTTCCCTTAAAACGAAACCTTGTTCTGCTCTCAGCAAAGTGGAGACAGTGAACCCAGGAATTGCTTTTTCCTTCAATTTAGTATTAACGAGCCCCAGCCGCTTTTCCCCTACCACATCCAAACCAATCAGCAAGCTCAGTAACCACAGAAAAACGCACTCTGAGCTTTGGACTGGCCGGGGTCTGATCTGTCTAAAGTTCCATTTTTCCCCTGCAAGATTCCCAAGACACTGGGCGCCCCACAGGACCTTGAAACGTGAAGGTTCAACAGTAGAGAAACAGCCTCCACGCTACTCCGGCCAGCCTAAGCAGAAGAACTCAAGCGTAATCTACACCCAGAATCTGAGCTGCCAAGTGTCTAGTCTGGAGAAAGAATGTGTGGGGCTGGTGCCAGAAGGTCAAACAGCAGTCTCACGAGCAATCAGCGCAGCTGCTTTTCCCAGAGCAAAGAGAGGGCTAAATGGAAACAAATTCTAGTTGGAAGGTAAAAGATTCTGCCACAACACCCACCCAGGTCCTGTATCAAGAGATGAACAGGGCAGCAGAGTGCCTTGCACAAAATGTGGGACACAGTCGCGCTTGCATAACTGAAAGGGAATAAAGCCCCATTCTTGTTTGCTCAGTCACTGTTTTCAGACTTGATAAACAAAACCAGAAAGCCGAACGGGGACAGATTATTTATAGTGACACCTTTCTGGGTAATTACCACCTAGGAGCTCCCGGAGTGATGATTACTCTGGTTCTAAAGTTAACAATTAGGACATCAATCGAGATAGCTGCAAATGGACTAAGCAGTAAACCAGCTGGGAATAAGGCTAAACCAAAATGAGCATCCCCGAGGCACAGAGCAATCACCCGGGGGTAAGTCCCTCCGTCAAAGTCCACAAGCCAGACACTTGGCTGCGGGGAACCAGGATGCCAGACCAGTGTGTGTTCTTTCAGGCCATACCTAACAGATCACATGTGCTAGCTGGAACACAGGGAAGAAAAGTGCTCCAGGAAATATTTTTTTAAATGCAAAGATTAGTCTAAACATTTACTTTTTTATATCCTTAAATGCCATTCACTTGTACTCTGCAGTTATTTTTTGCCCAAATTAACCCATGTACAAAATGTTAAGTATAATAGAGCTTTTAGAAGCAGTTCCCTGCCATATACCCACAATTTCGTGTTTAGCTTTCTATTTATCCACAATCTTTCTAAGTCATACACTTGTGCTGCTCCCTCGCTTACTGCAGGCACCGCCCGTTATCTGAAGGGCAGGACTGACTCAGCCCAGCTCCCCTTGCCCTTTCCCGGTAACATCACATATTACAGTTCCATCAGCAGAATCACATCATAAAATACTGTTCACTGACAATTAATGTACTACAACCAAGCTTCCTTTTTTGTATAATCCTTCTTTTTCCTGCCATTAATAACTGCTGCTTAAAAAAAAAAAACTTGCTAATTTACCTCCTATTTGTTTTTCTTTTGTAACACATGCTCCAAAAACTCTGCTGCACGCTCTCTGTATTTCCCACAGCCCCTTGAAAATCCAGCGAGGCTTGCTCAGACCAGGCATTCAGGACGGGAAGTTAAAGAAGTCTAAAGTAGTAGTTCAAAAAAGAAATTTGGCGTTTTTCTTTTTTCCCAAAACACAACTACGACAGCATCCCTAAGCACGGTCACCATCAAAGTGTGTAGCTGTCACCCAGAGTTCGGTGGTCAAGTAACTCAACAGCAGGTGACAAAAAACAAGATCATTCTCCACGCAGCTTCCTGCCGCTACCAACCCACTGGCCACAGCTGCTCAGGGAAAGCGTAAATGGGCAAATCCTCCACAAACTGTTCCAGTACCTACTGGTGGGAAATTAACACTTCCATGGCTGCGCTGGCCGAGTAACAATTAGTACCTCACACAAAATCTGAAGAGGTCTGTAACTTAGTATATCCACCAAGAACACGGCAAAGTAAAGAAATTCAAAACGGTGTATTTCGATAAGGACAGAGAAAAGAAAAAACGCTGTAGCACCCATCTGTCTCAACAAGAAGCAATGAGCAGGCAGTGATTCCAGCAGGGGAGATGGTGGCTCAGGGCTGCACAGGGTGGAGGTACACTCAACACCGTACCCGTTCAGAACGTCTCTCAACTGTCACAAGCCAGCCAGAGCAGGGAATTCTAAGAACGGCAAGCAAGGCTTGAATTGCCCATTTCCAGCTATCAGCACCCCAAAGGTCCTTGTGAGACTATTTTCTTTCTTCCCTTTAAATCTCATCCCAAAATTTACACAAAATAAAAGGTGATATGTAGGGTCCAGCATGGTAGCCTAGTGGCTAAAGTCCTCGCTTTGAACATATCAGGATCCCATATGGGCAGCCTGGCAGCTCCACTTCCCATCCAGCTCCCTGCTTGTGGCCTGGGGCGAGGGCAGTCAAAGACAGTGCAAAGCCTTGGAATTCTGCACCCATGTGGATGACCCAGAAGAAACTCCGGGCTCCGGGCTCCTGGCTTTAGATGGGCTCAGTTTTAGCCACTGTGGCCACTTAGGGAGTGAATCAGTGGACGAAAAATCTTCCTCTCTGTATATCTGCCTTGCCAATGAAAAATAATACATCTTAGGGCCCAGTCCAGTAGCCTAGTGGCTAAAGGCCTCACCTTGAATGCAGGGATCACACATGGGCGCTGGTTCTAATCCCGGCAGCCCTGCTTCCCATTCAGCTCCCTGCTTGTGGCCTGGGAAAGCAGTGGAGGACGGCCCAAGGCTTTGGGATCCTGCAACCGCATTGGAGACCCAGAAGAGGTTCCTGGCTTCAGATCGGCACAGCTCCAGCTGTTGCAGCCACTTGGGGAGTGAGTCAATGGACAGAATATCTTCCTCTTTGGCTCTCCTCTCTGTATATCTGACTTTCCAATAATAAATAAATCTAAATAAAAAACATTGGAAGAAAAAAAGAGGTGACATGCACTAGGCCAGTGCAGCAGTACAGTTAAGTGTTAAGGTGCTGTGTGGGTTCTATTATCGGCCCTGACAATTACAGCTGTAATTCTGGGCAAGCTAATCTTAAACTAACCCTGTTTTCTCACTTAAACGATGGGAATAACATCTACCAAGTAAGACTCACTGCATCACACTGGAAAACACTCACAGGGCGCTGGGCAGAGGCTGACTCTGGAAGTCACCCACTCAAAGGGCGCTGGGCAGAGGCTGACTCTGGAAGTCACCCACTCAAAGGGCGCTGGGCAGAGGCTGACTCTGGAAGTCACCCACTCACAGGGCGCTGGGCAGAGGCTGACTCTGGAAGTCACCCAGAAGAAGGTGAAAACGACACTCCACTGCAGACATCAAAAGTAAAGCAAACTAAACAACAAACATGCAAGTTTCTACTATCCAACCTCTGCGGTACTTCAGGCAGAGGCCAGCCCAGCTGATGACTCCTTAGCCCTACACTTGAGTAGTTACACTTGGCCAGACAATGTGCTTTGGCATTAAAAAAAAAAAAAATCCCAAATCTACACTTGAATTGGGAATGAACTAGGTCAATCTTTTTGGAGAGCAAGCTGACAGTAACTATTGACAATTTTAAAATACACACCCACGGTCAAGCAATTCCACTTTGTGACACAGAACACAGTGTCACCTACCTGCACCTGTCAGGCTTACGGTCTAGGGGATCTCCTTCTATGTAAGCACCACAATATGTTGCAAAGTCATCCACTTGTGCAAAGCCCAATCGCCTATCAGCATGTGCTGAACAAGACCCAAATGATAGCAACAGTGTCTCCAGGCCTGGGGCTCAGGGCTGATGACTTTTTGCCCCGTACACTTTACAAACAAGTATTAACTACCTTTGCAAGTTCACCAGCGCACTGGAGCTAGCCCTGCACTCAGCTGTCCCTTTACTGCCCAGCAACCCTGCGGAAACGACTTGTGCTCTCCAGTCCCTAGTACTCCACATCTGGAAAATGGAGGTAAAACAGCATTCACCTTGTAAAGTGACTTTGATGAGCAAACCAGATCGAGCCTGTAAACAGCTGGGCAGGACCTCTGGCATAGAGATGCCGTTTACACCAGCATCACAGAACAGGTTAAGCTCTGCAAGTGAGGTCAGCACCCCAGCAGCTCCCCTGCTGATCCTGCAGCCTGCTAAGGCACCAGACCCGGAGGGAGTCCTGCGCTACTGGCTTGGGCCTGGCCTGTCCCCAGCCAGTGCAGCCATCTGACTGAGCAAGAGGATGGAACATATTTCTCTCAGTCACTTTGCCTTGCAAATCTTAAGAGCGCAAGCTGTTGTTAAGCAGCATTCCCAGTCCCTGTTCAAACACCTGTCCTAGAATTCCCACTTATCACACACAGATTCAGACGACCTCTGTGGGAGGCAAGTCAGTAGCCCTGTTAAACATAAAATTACAAGTTAAATCACTTGACGAAACAGTTCCAAGCAAAGCTCATGCATTCATACATATCAGAACTAATCACACCTACAGCCAGGACCAGGCTATGCTAAATATTTACTCTGTTCGCACAGAAAAGTGCCACAAACTCCAGTGAGTTCAAGTCCCTTAGCAGCGCCACTGTTTTAGACTCCTGCTTTCCGCAACTATTTGAGTGCCTGGACCATCTGCATCAGGATCACCCCAGCTGGAGCCTAATCCATTAGGGGTGCCACATTCCAAGTTTTAAAACTGGCAATTCTTAGCATTCTAAATTTAAGAACCACTGCAACCAGATCTTAAAATACGCATGTCAGACAGTGCACTAAAATGAAGGTGACACACATTCACTTGGCACCACAGGGGAAAAGCCAACTTCTTCGACAAACCTTAAATACAGACTCCGGACGCCCCGGGCCAGTGGGCAGAGCGTCCCCGTGAGTCCAGCAGACGACCGTCAGCCCCTCTCACAGCGCAGTAGCTGCTCCACCTCCACATTTCTCCAAATTCTGCGACTGCCACGTTTTGTGGAACCATCAGAAATGCAGCTGCCTGCCATAACTTGGCAGGGAAGTGAACTCACATGCGTGTAAATACTTCTGTTTACCACCCTCCGCCTCCCGAAAAAGCTCATTATGAGACTCCTAATTCTTAAGAAATCTGATTTTTGTAAATTAGCACCATTTAAAGGGGCAGCCTTCCTCCATCAATGGCCGAAATCTCTATCCCCTTCCATTACCCAGGCTATCTTCAAATTCTACTTTAACACTGATGTGGAGTTCACTCATTTGCTCCCATCCACTAATCCCCAGTAAACATCACAAAGATGGCAGGTGAGCCCCAAATCAACCCGACCTTCTGGACTAAAAGGCACCTGGGAGGGAAGGCCGGAGCAGCCATCGCTAAGTGACATCAATAACCAAAGCGAAAGGGAATAGAGATCACGAGCAAAGCACACTGTGGCAAGCAGCAGTATCGATTACCTAAGGATGAACTCCGTCCCTGCAGCCTTCCCACTCCGGGGTCGGCCGGGGAGCAGGGAACTCAGCTTTGTAGCAGCCTGGACGTTTCCAAGTAATGAGAAAAGAAGGAAAAGGGCCAACTTTCCAGCCAAGAAAATATTTTATTGAACAGTACCAAAAGGCAGAAACCTCAAAAAAAAAAAATTACGCGAAAGAGGGGACAGCAAGGAGGAAGGGGAAGTAGATTAGAAAAGGGGTGGGGGTGGGGGGCAAATGTCTGGCATGATCGAGTGAGCATTCTGCGTCCCTGATGGAATGGAGAGGAGGAGGAGGAGGAAGGGGAGACAGGTGTGTGTGTGGGGGGGGGGGAGTACGACACCAGCCCCGCGCTCGCTTCTCTCGCGGCTTTGACTCCGGTCTGCAAGGGACCAGACTTCGAGGTTGCACAGCGTCCTGCAACCGAAGCCGGCTAGGAACAACTTCCTCAACGAGCACCGAAGGACAGCTAGAGCGCGGCCAGGGGGGCCCTCGCCGGACTCCTGCCGCGAGCATCCCCACCGGCCGGCCCCTTCCTCGCTCGGGACAAACGTCTTCCCGAAGATCCAGCAGAGCCGAGCGCCGGAAAGAAAGCAAACTCTGCGGGGGGAGCGAACCTTCTCCCGCACAACATTCGGTGGGCGAAGAAGCCTCGGAACCCCCTTCTTCGAAGCGTGCGCCGAACCCCCCGCCTGCCCGGGCCGGTCCCCTCCGGTGCGAACCCTCCCGACGCTGGCAGCGGATTCCAACGAGAAGCTCCCAGGCTGATGCCGGGGTGCCCTCGGGCCCCGGAGCCCGGGCGGGCGGGAGGGCGAGAGGGGGTCCTGCTCCTCCGGCGGGCTGGGCCCGGTTCCCGCACCCGCCCCACCCGCCCCAAGGAGCGGCAGGAAGAGAAGCACCGGGCCGCGCTGCCCGCACTCACCGTGGCGCAGCTGCCCGGCCCGCGCCCGGCCCGCCCCTCCGCCGCGCCCCGAGCGGCCGCCGATCTCGCTGCTGCTCCCGGAGCGCAGCGTCCGCTACCGCCGCTGCCGCCGCTGCCGCCGCCCGGTCCCCGGAGCAGCAAAGCCGCCTCGCTTCCGCTCTCCGCGCGGATCCCGCGAGAACTGCCCCAGGCCGCCCGCCCCCGCGAGACTTGCCCCGGCGGAAAAGGCCCAGAGCGCAAGCGCACCGGGTCGCCGCGGGAGCCTCTCCGGTGAAGACGGCGCAGACGCCAGTGCGCGTGCGCAAGACGGCCCCGCAGCAGGTGGCCCCGGCCTGGCTCCGGTGCTGTACCCGGTGAATGACGGCTGTGAAAAAGTAACGCTAGACGGATTGTAATCACTTTCCCCTCCACCGAACCGAGGCAGCGGCGGAGAGCTGGAGAGTTCTTTCCAGCGTGAAGCCCTCTTAATTTCAAAAATCAGGTGTTTGAGATGCTTGAGAATCCGGTAGTGGCGCCTTTAACCATTGAACCATGTGCTGTTTCACAAAGTATGAGGAAAACGTATAGTGTGAAAAACTAGACCCGCATTGAAATGTTTACATCAAAATAAATTTGTCTCTTAAAAAAAAAACAACGAATGCACAACCTTAATGGTTTATTTATTGGAAAGGGAGAGAGACCGATTTTTCATCTGCTGATTTCTTCCTAGCACAACCGGGCTGGGCCAGACAGAAGGCAGGATTCTAGAATTTAATCCAGGTGTCCCATGTGGGTGGCACGGCGGACCCAGTACTTGACCCATCACCTGTTGCCTCCCAGTGAAGCCAGACTTTGAAATCGGGAGTGAAGCCAGAACTTGAAGCCAAGCGTTCGGATACTCAAAACATGGGCACCTCGAGGGGCAGTTAAACCGCAGCCAGTGCCTACCCCAGCACCTCTCCTCTAATTCCATTCCTTTAGAACTTTCTAAGTGCCCTCATATAGGTCACGTACTGCGCTGGGTGTGGAACTCCTGGCCCTCAAGACATGGAGGTGGAGAGAGGTGAGAGAACCACTGTTAGCGTTGTGTGGAGAAATGGCAAGAAAGCTAAGGAGACCGGGAGGTTTCCCCATCTGCCCCCTGAAGAAAGGGCTTCACAGAGAAGTGGTGAGCCTGTCTGGTTGAAGGCTTGGAAGATCCAGTGTCTGCAGGCATAGGAGACCACGTCGGGCAGACCCAGCAGCGGGCACCGAGACCCGGGGGAGTAAGAGAGCAGTGTGGTGTGCCCTACCGTAGGGCCAGACTGCTGGAGGAAGCTGCTGCTGTGTACAGGGGTGTGGCTGAAGATGAGGCTCCGAGAGGCAACACTGTTTTTTCAGTTGCAAAACCTCTTTCCAATTTCAGGAGCGAACAGAATACAGCTGATGTTAACATGCTTTCTGAAAACCCCCAAAATAGGGTGAGGCAAGAATAGCTCAGCATCTCTTCTGCCGAGAAAATAAGCCTATCGTCGCAAGGAAAATGGATGACTCTTTCATCAAGTATTTCTTTTAAAAGTTTTATGCATTTATTTAAGGGGCAGCAAGAGAGAGGGAGAGGACTCCCACTTGATGGTACATTTCTCAAATGTGAGCCATGAAGCCAGACACTGGAAATGCAATTCAGGTCTTCCTCAATGGGTGGCTGGCTGGAACTCAACACTTGAGCTGTCCCTGCCTCCCAGGGCCCTCCCGCATGGGACACAGGCATCTCGGCCAGCATCCTCCCAGCTGGACCAGTGCTGGCCCCAGTGACAGCATCGGCTGCGGATATGGTGCCCCCCGCCCCCGGCGGCAGCGGGGTGGCCAGTAACATAGGAACCCAAAAAAGCCTTGACTTTCTCTGGAGTTGGTGACCCCATAAGACAGTTGACCCCCACGTGTCCCTGAGTGACATAGTGGCCTGCAGACTTGAGAGCCAGAGCCTGGGCCTGAAGTCATCAGGGAGCACCCGGGGTGAACTGCAAGCGGAGCTGCCACAGCCCAGGATTTGGCAGGGGCGAGGAGGGGAGAAGCTGTAAAAGAATCAAGCCAAGATCTGTGACTTAGATTTGCCCATCAAGCGATTGTGAGCAGAAGATATCTGTTCTGAGTTAAAAATAGCAGAGGAACCACATGTGTGATCCACGTGAGACAAACGAAAGCAAACCTGCCGGTTCAGGCTGGGTGATGTACCCAGTTTGCAGACTCAGAGCTGAGGTTTCACTAGCAGTAAGTTACCCGAGGAAACCAAAACATAGGACTTGTAGGGGTTGAAACCAGACCTCTTTAACACTTTGTGCTAAAATGGTGGCCAAAAAGAAAAAAAAGAAGGACTTAGAGGAGAGAGGCAGCCCAAAAAGAACTGCAGTGTTGAACGGGCCTGGCTGGGCAGGAAAAGAATAGTGAACTTTGCCAGGCAAGGGGCAGGCCAGAGACCGATGACCCAGTTTCAGTTTAACATGGCAGGAGACAGGCAGATTGGAACTATCCTGTTGGTATTGAAAAGCTCTGGGCAGCCTGCTTCCTGGCCCCCCAGAGTGCCCAGACATCTACCGTGCAGCAAGTAGGACCACCTTTCCCAGCCAAAAGGGGAAGATGTGGTGGGAGGGGTCCTGGTGGCCTAGCAAACCTGGGGCAGGACATCTGACCTTACCTGGGATCAGGGAAGGCGGTTGACGCCCCACCCTTGCTGGCTTAGGAGGACTTGTGGGTGAAGCCACTGGAGAAGGGCTCACCCAGGGCGTATGAGCCCTGGCTGGGGCCTTGGAATCTGACTCTGTGGACTGTAGACTCAGGCGTAAGCCACTGTCAGTTTCATCTTCAAAATACTTTATCATACTGCAGCTGCAGGGTAGAGTTGATGGGAACGGAGACACCACTTATCTGGGAGATAATGTCCCCCAGTCCTTCAGCCAAGGCACCTCGAGATCTACTCCCCAACCCCCTCCATCCCAAACCAGCAAATGCTGCGCCAATGTTAAACCACTTGTGGCTTCCTGAAGGTATCACACTGTTTTGAGTGTCCCTATCGCTACACATGCCATTTCCTCAGCCCAGCTGGCCTTCTACCCCCATCTTTGAGTCCCCAAGTCAGCCATTTCTTCAAAATGCCCACCACACCTGCCATCTGATGGCATCAGTATCCAGGAGTTTGTGCCCGGAACCCACTCCCCACCCCTGCCAGGGGTCTCTGAGTTCCCACCAGACAGGACCCTGTTTTTTTTCACAAGGTATTCTCAGTCTCCCACCCAGTGTGTGACATGAATAAAGGCATGAATGGATGAATAAATAGTGCAGGCTGACTTAGCGATAAAAAAATGTGGCTGCCTTTCTGTGTGGTGGTGATATTTGAAGCTAAGAATGTGGGCGAGGGCACAGAAAGACACAGTGGATGCTTCAGAGGACAGGGGTGGGCCCGAGGCAAGGCGACCGTGCTTCCTCCCCAAATGCAACGTTGATAAGGTGTGTCTAAATGTCTGTTGGGAGAACAGAACTGGAAGGGGAGCATCTGAAAAGGAAGGAGCAAGGTGTTGAGATGTGCTACCATGGCAGACTTGGGAGACAGTGTTTGTTACGTTGTCTTTCCGATAAGTATTTCTCCAGATTCCAAAATTTGAGAGAACCCAATAGCCCACATCATTCTAAAGGGGTGAGGGGTGGGAGGAGCCTGGCATGATAACCTAGAAGCTAATGTCCTCACCTCGCACATGCCGGGATCCCATATGGGTGCCCATCCAGCTCCCTGCTTGTGGCCTGGGAAAGCAGTGGAGGATGGCCCAAAGTCTTGGGACCCTGTACATGTGTGGGAGACCTGGAAGAAGGTCCTGGCTTCAGACTGGTTCAGCTCCGGCTGTTGCAGTCACTTGGGGAGTGAATCAACGGATGGGAGATTTTCCTCTCTGTCTCTCCTCCTCTCTACATATATCTGACTTTGCAATAAAAATAAATAAATCTTTTTTAAAAAATGCTTCAAAGGCAATAGTAGCTGGAACACATGCCTGTGGGTGATGTTGCAATGCCAGACAAGGTGTGAAGTACAAGTCACACCTTGGTCTGAAAGCCTGGTGTAACTGTAGCCAACTTGCTTAAAGCAAACTGGCTCCATCAGTCAGTTCAGCTTTCACAAATCAATCACCAAGATGTCTTTCTGTTCCTTCCGGACTTGGGGTGGTTGTGAGGAGCTTTGTTTTCTGGGAGTGCTGGTGCTGCCACCTGCAGGTAAGGACTGGACACTGTCTCGGAACGGACTACAGCTGGATTCTTTGGAGAGCTGGCTGGTGGTGTTTATTGCTCTTAGATCTCAGCTAGAATTTTCTGTGTCCAAATTCCGAGCCAGCCCCGAAGGTTGTCTTTGGTGCTGAACCTACGCACTGGACACCCCATGTAGTGGCTGCCCCTCCTCGGCAGCCTGACCCCATTTCTATCCCTGCCCTGGTCGGTGCACCTGGCCTTCCTGGGTGGTCACTCTGGCTTGCCAACTGACACCTCAGGCCCCTCCGGTAATTATCCGTGTTGCAGCCACAGTGGACTTTCTAGAACGCTAAACTATGAGATCACAGCTAAAATCTGTAGCCTTCCACGTGCCCCATGTGGCCTTCTGTGGCTGGCCGCTGACGGCAATTGCAACCTCAGCTCTTAGCCACCCCTGATGTCTCAAATCCTGGACTGTCTGTGGTTTTCTCAATGACCATCAGTTCACTTACAGCTCAGATTTGTACTGCTCCCTTGTGCTTGAATGCCTCCTCCTCTGCCTCCTGCCAGTTCCTGTCTGTCCAAGACTGCATTTATGTACCACCTCCTCCAGGAAGTTTCCCTGGGTGTCCTAAAACCTCCATGGGTGTCTTAGAGCACCTTCAACCCAATCCAGCATCACCCTTTTGTGGGAATATATGCTGATGTTATCAATAAAATTGCATTTTCCCTCCCCAAAATGCCCTATATTACCCAGATCCCTGGTTGTTATGAGAGAGAGCCTTTAAGAAATCCCTAAGATGGGTCACACATTTCCCAGGCTTTGAATGTACTACTGCAATAAAACTTTTAGCATAAAAAAATAAACC